CACACACACGGTATATATATTGTCAAAGCCACTGTCATTCTTTCTAGAGCTACCACCTCATTCCTCAGAATCCAGTACCCAAAGGTTATAGTGTGATTGTGAATCCTTATGTTGTTTATCTCACTAGTTCCAGTGTGAAACTCCCCCTAAAAACTTAAAAAGTATATTAATGTACTGGTTATACAAGCAGGATATGTGTTAAGTAGTCCTGATTTGTTTTGAACTTTTGTAAAACAACTCCCCCCCCCCCCCCTAGCTTCTTCACCCGCAGACATGAGATCGATACCAGATCCATCTTTGCACAGCTCTCTAGGAAAGAAAGCAAACAAGTGCGTTTCCATTATGTGGAACTATGTATTGCTTTAAATGCAAAAAGAAAATGTGTTTATTTTAACATCAAGTTGAATGGCTTGATTGAACACAGATTTACAAGCTGAAAATATTTTGCAACAAGTGCTGTAAATCTGCATTGTTATTATTATTATATCATTTTTATTGGCTCCTTGTTGTGGTGTTTGGGGCGCGGGTCAGTTGCGCAAAGCTGAGATGGATGACACAAAAGGACTTGTGTGTTGTGCTGGCTTTCATTAGCTCTATTCTATGTCATTAAAAATGAGTCGGAGCAAACAAACACAATGGATGTTAATCATTATCATTAATGTGTCCCCGAAAAGAAGGACATCCGTCTCGTAGGCACCTCAGGTCGCTGTGGTCTCGCGAATGAGGCGGCTTTCAAGTTTCAAGAGTTCAATTTTTTCTGTTAAATGACCTGATGACAGCATGAGCCACAATTACTCCTCGGTCACAATCAAGATTTTTGACGTCTTTTGTAATTATCCACATAATGCTTTCAGTATTGTAAAGTATGTTCTCGTGGGATGAATCAAGACCACTTCTGCATTTAAATGCAGCATGATGGCTTAAAGGGGGTGTCTGCCTTTGAGCCGAAACCACTACAAACAACGGTCGACTCCCCTGCAGACATCTGATCCCCTGATTTTGCCACGAGTACAATACTATTTTTGTGTTTCTATCATTGTGGTCAAACAAGAAACAATCGAGTAAAAGAAACATGTGTCTGGTCTGCGTGATAGAATCGGAAGGGAACGTTTGTTTATCAAAAGCAAACACAGAGGGATGTTACAAGTTACAGGCCTCTGTTCCGGGAAAGAAAAAGGGTCATAATGAATACGGGAGGAAATAAAACACAGAAAAAGATGCAATTACAGATTAAGAGAAAAATATTTATTCAGTGGTCATTGCAGAGAAAGGCATCAACAATGGAAACATGAATGGCATATGCTGTAAAAGGCATTTGCAGGAGCACAATTGACAGAGCAATTCGATAAATTGCTTCCATAGCTGTGCCTACGGTGTAGAAATGTGATAGAATCTGAATTGTAAGTCACTTTGGATAAAAGCGTCTGCTAAATGATTTTAATGTATTAAGTAGAAAATGATAGCTAAGACAAAATGGCTTATATGCACTTTCACTTGTTGGCTATAATATGTGAGGGTTTTACATTCATTTTAGGACCTACACGTACATGAAAATTACAATATACAAATCCATAATGAACACAAACAGTAAAAATACAGGAAAGTGAGTGAAAATGAGAGGCACTTCGTTTGGATCAAGAAGGCTTTTGCAATGCGTACAGTAGAGGCCAGATGTGACCACTGTAACTCTTCCGAAGCTCTTAACAGCACTGTATCTTCTGGTGTCCAAACAGCATTACATAACAAGAACCTCTTCCAAGGGGAAATCCTGGCGAGGCTCTCGTTTGCTCTAAACAATGAGTCATGTGACTGAACATGGGCGGCAGCGAAGCCCTCGCTCTTCAGATGGTGTCTGTCTGTTCAGACATAATATTGGCAATAGCAAGAGTAACATTGTGGGGAGAAAATAAACACATTAAGCAACAAACCCACTCAAAAACCGTCCATCCATCCATCCATTTTTCTCCGCTTATCCGGGGTCGGTTCGCGGTGGCAGCAGGCCAAGCAGGCTGAGCCAGAGCTCCCTATCACCGGCAACATGTTCCAGCTCATTCTGGGGGATCCCGAGGCGTTCCCAGGCCAGCTGGGAGATGTAATCTCTACAGCGTGTTCTGGGTCTTCCCCGGGGTCTCTTCCCAGTTGGACGTGCCTGGAAAACCTCCAGTGGGAGGTGTCCAGGAGGCATCCTAATTAGATGCCCGAACCACCTCAGCTGACTCCTTTCGACGCGAAGGAGTAGCGGCTCGACTCCAAGCTCCCTCCTGATGACCGAGCTCCTTACCCTATCTCTGAGGTTGAGCCCGGCCACCCTACGGAGGAAGCTCATTTCGGCCGCTTGTAGCCGCGACCTTGTCCTTTCAGTCACGACCCAGAGTTCGTGACCATAGGTGAGGGTAGGAACGTAGACCGAGTGGTAAATTGAGAGCTTTGCCTTCCGGCTCAGCTCCCTCTTCACCAAGACGGTCCGGTGCAGCGCCTGCTTTACTGCTGCAGCCGCACCGATCCGTCTGTCGATCTCCCGCTCCATCTTACCCTCACTCGTGAACAAGACCCCGACTCAAAAACCAACCGGATCTTATTTTTGGTAGCGGAAGGCTGATGGGAGCTTCTTCATAGTTTTACAAGTATTTGGTCACAAACCAAAGTATCGAATAGAGAAATGTTCTGGCCTGATGATGCCGCTAGGTAAAAAAGTCTATCAAAATTCATCCTGGGGGGGACATGAATGGAAATCCGTCTCAAAATTGTTGAGAGTTTTCACACAAAAAACTCAACAATAACAAATCGTGGCGCTTGAAGAAAAGTCTTCGTCGAAGTCATTAGGATTCATCCTCTGGGAACCATGCATCTCGACCAAATTTCACAGCAATCCTTCCAGTAGTTAATCAAAAGACAAAAATGTCAACTTGCTGGTGGCAATGACTCTGGGATCCCCAAAGTCATTGGGAGTGATTCTCTGGGGAAAATAAATATCTGTAAAAAATGTCACAACAATCCGTCCAATAGTCGAGATATTTCAGTCAAGTGGTGATTCGACAGACCAATGATGCCCTCCATAGAGCCATGGCTAAAAATGACTAAAAAGAAGATTTTAGACTGCATACATGAAAAGACTTAAAGGCACAGTGTGTAGGATTTGGAGGCATTTAGAGGTGTGGTTGCAGATTATAAACCATAAAGCAGGGCTTACTGTGATTGACAGGTCGCTACCAGAGCCGCATACGGCAACTATACGTCACTCCTTTGCATTCCAAATATGATAATTTACATTCATTTGTTGCCAAAAACATGGCAACGGCTGTAAGATGATGACGGCGAAATTGCCGGACTCTAGGCTCCATAACGGCAGTCCACAAACCAATGGGTGACATTACGATGACTACGTCCCCTTCTTATATACAGTCTATGCATGTAACATAAATACGCTAAGGGCTCCCAATGGAGATATGAAGGACGATTAAAGGTGATTGATCTCTAATGAAAACATGATTATGAGTATTATATTTCGTTCCTGCTAATAGATTCCCCCCGGAATGCTACACATTGGCCCTTTAATGAAGAATGCACAAGTGAGATATTTCAACTTACTTTAACCTCAGCTAAAAATATCAACCCAGTGTTTAAAACCCTGTGTTAACACCATGCCAGAGTGTCATTATGATTTACAGTAGCTCCCTTTCCATCACACATTCATAGCCAAACAGCAGCAGTGACCTAAGGTCAGGGGTGTGGAAGTGGGCTGTCGTTTCCGGTGATGTTATTGTGAAATTGTTTGTTTCACAAGAGACAAAAAAAACAAGCATAATGTCCCTTAAACCCTAATCCATTCCTTTATTCTCCTCTCTTTATCTTCTCCATTCCCTTTCCCCTCCTCTGATCTTACCTTCTCTTCTCTCCTGTTTTCTATTTTCCCTCTTCCTCTCCTCTTAGTTCACACAAAGTTCAAGGCGAGCCATATGTCTCTGATCTGAATCCACATATAAACAGTTGCCGCCTCGCCCCCATGTGCTGCTACTATCTCCCTCCATCCCTTTTCCCTTTGAACATGTCTGTTTCTTTTGTTTTTATTCCCCTTCTACTCAATATATTCACCCAGAGCAAGAAAGACCAGCTTACCTATACTTTCCTTTTAATCTTCTCTCACTTGTCTGAAAATAATCCCTCTTCTCCTTTTTCCTTCAACTCTCTTTTGGATGAATTAATATCGATCGCTTCTTTACTCTGGATTCAGCTGGTTTATATCATGGAAAAGAACAGGTGTTTCTAATAGCTTGTATAACCCTAACCCACAGAACTGGTAATTTACCCGCTCTCCTTTTAACAAAGACCATCTGTGGAAACGAGATAGCGGAGAACAGAGTGTGCAACAGGGATGGAGCCTATCCATGAACGTTGAATTGAAATGTCATTGATTCAACTTCTGCTTGACTAGAAAAATAAAAAATAAGGCAGAAAAGTCGAGTTAAACTACATGTCTTTCCTTCTCTGTCGTACTCTCTTCCCTCTAATCTTTTTCTTCCTCTCTTTCTCCATACTTTACACAACATTGCAAAACCTCCCCTCCCCTCAAAGTCCCACTCTTCTGCTCTAATCGGGGGGCCAAAGCTGTAACAAACCTCTGATCTGGTCCCGTTAGTCATAGCTGGATGATGGAAACAGATGACTCTAGCTAGAAAAAGGAATGCCAAGAATGTCAAATAGTTAAGTTGAAAAGATGCAGCTGGGATTCAGCTCAAAGGCACATTCAGCCAAATGTCATGTCCGTGTACTACGGTGGACAGGAAATCAAAAAATTCCAGTATCAAATCCCTTTGTCCAAATACTGTAATGGGTTTTGTAACAAAAGTCGTTTCTTCACATGTTCACCACATAGCGCCTCGCATCATCACCTTATTAGAGACATTGGATGTACTGCTGGATCACAACGCCACCTTTATCTGTGAGGTGGAGTCCCGCCCCCGTGCTGACATCAGTTGGACCAAGAATAACCACCCAATCATGTAAGTTTGACCTCTTTCAACTAGAGCATTCATCTAGGAGTCCACTCTTGTAGGTTCATGAAGGACTATACCATGCAAATGACAAAAAAATTAAAAGGTAATCTGGGATTTACTTTGTCTTTATTCTGTCTTCATATTTGGTGCAAAATACTCTTTCACACTCAGGTATGTCACATGATACTTCCAAAAAGGAACATGTGTTTTCTGTTCTTGTCTCAGTATTTGCTTGCCATTACAAGGCTAACCTCAAAATGGTGAAACAGCTGCCACATCATCATCCTCATGCTATGGTTATGTTAAAGTGATAAAAAAAGTAATAGCTGTTAGGTATGGCCTAACCTAACATAACTTGCAACATAACAGGCCAAAGGTTATAAAAAAGACAATACCTACCCCAGTAACAGTTGGGTCACCCTGCTGCCGTCTGACAAGATATACAGAAGTAGGCTGTAAGACTCCTCAACTTACATACCGCATAAGATTAGCTACTCATTTTGACTGTCACAATGCTAATATTTGTGCAGGTATTTGCACAAGTATAATTTCTAAATATTGCCAGGTGCAGATATTGGTCATCACATATGCACTGATTGTTCCGTGTAAAGTTCATATTCGGCCTTTGTCTAACAAGTATAATTCTAAAGCCCAGACAATTTAAAAGTATGGTAAAAGTATATTTCTAAAGCCCAGACAATTTAAAAGTATGGTAAAAGTATATTTATAAAGCCCAGATAATTTAAAAGTATGGTAAAAGTATATTTCTAAAGCCCAGACAATTTAAAAGTATGGTAAAAGTATATTTCTAAAGCTCAGACAATTTAAAAGTATGGTAAAAAGTCCATTGGTCTCTCCCACTCACAGTCACATTCTTTTTTGCTTCACACCGTCCTTTTTGTCCCACCAGGTACTATGACCCCCGGTACATTACCAGGGAGCAGGGACAGATGCTAAGCATCCCTCACGTGAGAGAGACGGACAATGGGGAGTACTGCTGCCTCGCCACTAACGGCATCGGAGAGGCAGCCAAGAGCTGTGGGGCTCTGCAGCTCAAGATGAGTATGTCTAACTGTGTCCCTCGGTTTTTTGTGGTGGAGTCTTCAGGAGTCTTCAGATTTTCTGAAATAATTTAATAATTTGATGATTCTAAACAATTGTATCTTGTCCATCCCCTTCCGCCAGAGCCACAGATCAAACGCCATCCTACCAACGTAACCCTTCTGGTAGAATCCAAAGCAGTGCTGCCCTGCGTTACCCTCGGCAACCCCAAACCGGATGTCTCCTGGCTCAAAGATGACGAGCTCATCAAAGTACGCACTTTCTTTCACTTTGACGTGTACAGCATTGGCAAAGGGAAGTTTTCCAGCCACATGAGACGTTTCATAGATTTAGCTACATGGTGCCAATGTTTGTGTCGGTCGGACCTGGACTGGGAGTGTGTGCGGGATGTTTGCATAGAGGACCACCTCTTCTTTTGGGTTTGGTTTCTATTGTCCCATAGAATCGGATACAAACATAATGGAATAAAAATGTGGAGAAATCAATTCCATCTTTTAAACAAAGTAATAAAAATGGTCTCATCTCTGCCAGGTCAGTGACCATGTTACCATTCTTGATTACGGTGCATTGAAGATCCATCACATACAGAAGGAGGATGCAGGACAGTATCGCTGTGTGGCCAGGAACAGCTTTGGATTGGCCTTTTCAAAGCCTGTCACTATAGAGGTCCAGGGTATGCATTTTAACACAGGTTCACTGTCTGTTCTTGGTACAGTATGTCTTTTTTTTTTTGAAAGAAAAAGTAAAGTGGAATATAATTGATTTGTTGCAATATATCGTGTGTCTGTGTGCATGTGTTCAGCTCCAGCACGAATCCTGCGGGTTCCCAAGGAGAAGCGGGTAGTGTACGGAAGCCAGATTTCTTTGGAGTGTAACGCCACGGGGAATCCCATCCCCTCCATCACCTGGCTGGAAAACGGGAACACGGTGAGTGTTCAGGTTCAGTGTGTGTTTTGTGAGAGCAAGTGTTTGATGGGTTTGACCAATATTCTAAAAGTTCCTTAAACAGATGCTGATTCATTTTGGCTTGTATCTTCTTTTTGATGTATCCCCGAGGGGTCAAAAAGCATCTAAACCACATATAATGAGACACTAAAGCTCTCCACTGAATTTTTCCAAAGTAAAAAACATTATTTATGGTAGCTCCATCCGGCCATCCATCCGTCCATGTCCACTGTCTCTCATAAATGCTTGTGATCTCGCGGTTGTCTCCTTCAGCGTGGTTGAGTCCATCTCAGATGTCAGTCCACACAGCCAGCATCTGTGTAATATCTGTGGAATGTCATCGCACGGCTTGACATTGTGACACATTGTCAGCCGCAGAGCCCTGCGTAATGGGAAAGCTTCGACGATGACAGAGTAGATAGTCAGGAACGACCAACACGCACCGCAGTCTGATGAAAATACTCACGTTGAGTTTTTTATTTGTGAAATCTCCACTTACCATTGCATGGATCTGGAAATCTACACAGTAGCGTTGTCCGCTTTTGTCAAATTAGCAGCGAACAGCTGCTTATAGCTGTCTGGCAAATCCAAAGAGACAGAGGCAGATGCACCAACTTACTGCATGAATACAGTGACTCATTTAGAAACAAATCCATTACTTGTCCTCTACCAGTCCTCCAGTGGATCTCTCTTTATGGTCTATTTGGGGGGGGTGCAGCTGCACTTCACGTTCAAGGATTATGGTGTCAATGAGGACTTCCTCAAGTTCAATATTTTGGCCTTCGGAATCTTGTTTCTTTTTCTTTCGTCATCTTGTTTTGTTTTTTTTGCAACCAGAAGGGACACTAGAGGGTGGAGCTAATAAGACTTTTAGTCAACCAAAAAGGGTTACAACTAACTTCCATTTCAACTGAAAACACACTGTGAAAGGGTTAAAGCTCTAAGATGAAAACATGAACAACTCGCAGACCGAACAACGCCGTGGTAGCGACCTGTCAATCACAATGTAGCCCCGCCCTAAAGCATACCCATTTTTTTGTGGTCTATTTGGGGCCATGTGGTCTAAGCTAATATGATGTTCTTCTTTTTTGGGACACCGGGAACCGTACCGCTCAGTGGTGTTATTAATATGTCCATGTGGCTCAATAGATAAAACAATTAAGATCATAAACACAGAAGCAAAACTTCATAGTAACCTGGTCACGCGAGCAAAGGGCGAACGGGGGGAAACCGGGACACGAGGAACACTAATCCACACGCACATACTGTGCTGCAAACGCACAAGAAATGACCCACTTATCCCTCGCTCTCTCTCTCCCTCTCCCTGGATGTCGCTCTCTCTCTCTCTCTGTCTGTCTCACTCCTTCACACAGTCAATTTAAATGATTTAGCTGCAGGATCAGCGATATAAACAGCAGCGGAATTCTCATTAGGGTGACAGAGGATTGAAGAGATTGCCTTGCATTTAGCCGGTGATGCACAGTGTCATGGGCTTTGATCAGGGGTCGCCTCTTTCAAGATCTTAAGGCGTTGAATGGTTTGCATTAAACTGCTGAATTGTGCGAGACCCCGGCTTCGTGGTCCGACAGCCCGGCCATGTAAGGTGGTCTCACTGGGATATACGGCTGGCACAGAGGGCTGGTCTATGTTAAGTTCATGCAAAGAAAGATAACTTAAAGAGATTTAACAAAGGTACATGCTGATGAAGGTTTTGAATAAACGACATAACTCAAACAACTTTTGAGACCCAGAGTGCCAATTGTTGTGATCCGTGCTAAGTCTAATAATCTAGTGACGACGTTCTAACATGTAAGTCACTGTGAAGGTTTAGTTTTAATCCACCCTTGCAGTTCGAACGACATGCAATGCTTAAGAAGAATACATTAATCATGACTCATGCCGAGTGCAAACTATTTATTTTTTTTTTTAACTTAAGTGAAACACCAGGAGAGCGAGATCTCCACTTCCTGTGAGAGAAAAGGTAATGGATCCGACCAAGAAAGGAGCAAAGAATGCTCTATTTAGATTTCAGTTGATGTGCTAAAATCACAGTCTGTAGGGGAGAGTGGGGTCAGTTGGCCAAGTTAGAAAGCAACTATGCCGATGCCATTCACCGTGCTCATACTCAGACCTTCTGAATATTCCTCCCATGTTATTCACAGTTTTGATGTCTACAGCATATGTTGTGGCTATTTTGTTGCTGTGGTTTCATTCTACCATACGGTGTTAGCTGTCTGAATTTCTGTTGGTAGCTAGTAGATGGGTCCGAAGGGTGTCCTCTCTGTCTCTGGGACGGTTGGGGACAGTACTGTAAAAAGTTCCAACCTTGATACAAATCAACAGAAAGCAGACAGAAACAAGACAGAGGCTTTTCCTGATTGAATAAGTCACCGAGTCAATATTTACTCAAGTGGCAGCCAGTCAGAAACTATTTTTGGGTTTTGGGCCCTGAAAAAACGTGATAAATTGTTAGCAGATACCTTTTTCTCTCCAGGAATCTATTTTTTGTCATCACTGTTCCAGTAGTCTGTGAGTGATGAAACGTTATATGATGTTGATAAAAACAGAAGTAGAAAATGTCACTGTGACCTCACCCCTTGGTTTGAGGACCGCCTCGATATTTTGGCTTTTGGAATGTTGTTTATTGTGCCGGCCCTTGTTTTTTTTTTTAAACCAGAAGTGACACGAGAGGGTGGTGCAACCGAACGCTGAATAAGACATTTTTAGGGAACCAGAAAGTTGACGACCGTGAAAGGGTTAAAGTTCTAAGACAAAAACACGGACGACTCCCAGACCGGACAACGCTGTGTTAGCGACCTGTCAATCACCATGTAGCCCCGCCCTAAAGCATACTCTGCTTTATGGTCTGTTTGACTCTAAATGGACCATAATTTACTAAATGAACATCATGCTGTATTGAAGAAGACTTGAAACTACAGATTGAGACCATAAACTCATGTTTACAATGTTTACTGACATCACTGTTCTGGTTTTTGGATTGTGTTGTTATGATCTCCACTCCACCTCTGTAAACCTCTGGCATCCTAATCTAAAAGTTTTTTAAGTTTTTAATGATTATTTTTTAATCATGGACATTGAATTACTCATTTGACCACCTTAAGAAAAACTGGATTGTTTTTGTTTTTTTCAACCAGGCAGGAGACATGTATCATGCATGCCAATGCGGGCAGACAAACACCACATAACGTCTGGGTATTTAATAGTCTTGGGTGCTAGCTACAAAGTGATTACAGGCCCATTATGCTTGTAAATAATATGTGTGTGTGTGTGTGTGTGTGTGCTGATTAAAATGTGTGAGCTGCTTTTCTGGCAGCTTGTTGGGCTCGTTAATTTCAGCGAGGCTGGATCAAGCTCGTCCCAAAAAACAGAAGGGTGTCAGACACAACTTCAAATATAGACATGTCGCATATCAGCACCCATACACACACACACACACACACCACTCTCTCTCCCATATATCATTTATATATTTGTGGGAGTTATGTGTCGATACAAAAACCAAAAACAACAATGGCCTTTCATCTGGTTCCATCCCAGTGTGAATACCAGGGAATTTTTAAATTTGGAAATGATCGCAGGCGGTTGTATTAATGCCAGACACATAGCTCACTGTATGCGCTTCATTTCATCAACTCAACACCCATGAGACTGCAATACAATCAGTGTATAAACACTTCACACATTTTGTTGTTTTCATTTTATGATGGAAGATTCAGAGGCCAGATTTTTCCTATTTTTATAATCTGTTCACAATTACATTTTTCCATTACCGCCATCATCTGGTAAAGAGTGCTATTACATGGATAGACTGCCTGATCTCATCAGATAAAGCTCAGTTCTGTTGCTCTGAGTCTCTGAGTGATCTCAATACAACCAAACGCATAATCATCCTGGGACATCATTTTTTCGGTAATTTCTGGGTCTCTATTTTGAGATATTTTACCAAATTCTCACCTGGTTATCCGTAACATCCTGCCGCCTCAAATACAAGTTCCAACAATAAATACTGAGGATGGAAAGTCTGCTCTCAGATGTGCTGCCCTACTTCCTGCTTACCAACAAACGACAGACGGGCAATGTGAGCAACTAGCTGGTGAACACAGTGGAGCATCTGGCAGCTAGATGTTTCCCTCGTTAGCGAATATTAGTTAGTTAAAGTTAGGTTTATTGTTGTCATATATACTGTATACATATACAAAATGTAACTTCTGCATTTAACCCATCCCATAGCTTATTGGGAGCAGTGGGCTGCTGAGAAGCGCCCAGGGAGCAGTTTAGGGGTTCAGTGTCTTGCTCAGGGACACTTCGGCACAGGACATGTAGCAGCCAAGGATCGAACCGCCGACCTTGTGGTTGCCGGACGACCCTCTCTACCCGTCGGGTGGACAGAAACACAGCTCACAGTGAACACTAATGTTGTTCTGCAGCTCTTGGTTTAAATAGGAACTGTTTCCTAATACGTTTGACACGACTTCAAAATAATGCGGTATGTCAATGTTGTGTTTTCGGGCTGTTCTGCTGCCCAGAAGTGGACGAAAAAAGTAAATCTTGAATTAATTAAACTACTTTAAAGCTACCAATTACCTAACACTATAGCAACGCTATCCTAGGGAGAAATCTAGTTTAGTTAACTAAAACTACAAAAAAAAATGGTAATGAAAAAAAAAAGAAATTGATGATGACGCTGTCGCTGTGTGAGAGCACTGAACAATATGAATATAGTTTACAAGGAAGCTACTGAAACATGTGGTTAAACTAGTTGAAGTACATGTAGGTCACTACTCCACAACAATCCTTATGAAGGCCATGTATTCATGGTGTCATTTTTTAACAGTAATTTGTGCTGATGCATGATGACACCCTGTCTGCTGTCATTTATGTAATTGGGTGGGGGGGGGGGGGATTTTCCAGATTTCGGGCGCATCCGTGGATGAGACTTTGACGGGCGAGGTGATCCTGTCCGTTCTTAAAGTGACGGCGAACAAGCCGGCCCTGTACACATGTCTGGCCTCCAACAGACACAGCGCCGGAGCCAACACCGTCAAGGCAACGGCCAGAGTCACTGTCGCAGGTAGTGACCCCTTCTTTTCCCTCCTCCGTTCGACGCTGACATCTGTGTGTGTGTGTTAGTGGGGGATGGTCGTTGCTGCTTTGCCTTAAGTTGTGTTAGCTGCCAGTTGTAGCCAGTTGTATTGTGTTTTGTGTGGCTTCAGCTGTCTGCCCACCCCCATTTGGTTACTACCTAAGCGACACTCAGCCACACATCCCATGACAACAGTCACCTAAAAAAACACACACACGCACACACCCCTACCTCTCCGACCACACGCACTGTCCCTCCACCTGGTTGTCCCTCACAGCTAGCTATAAGCGGGTGAGAGCAGCACCATGGTTGGTTTTCTTCTTCTGCCGAGACTAATTTTTGTCCTTTTTCCTCCTCTCTTCTCCCCTCTCCTCCTGCTTGTGTTTCTTCAACCGGCATTTTCTGGATATTGCCACTTCCCCATAGAGTGGAGGTAAGCGAAATGCTCCTTATTTCTATAAACTTTATTTTCCTTACCTTTTGTGCGTGGCTTCCCCACAGTTTTTTCTCCTCTCCTCCACCACATTGCCTTTAACTGAATACTATACGGGCACTACAACCCTCTGCGTTAGAAGAAGTGCCGTTGCTTGCTTTAGGGCCTGCTGAAGACAATATGCATTTTAGCTCTGGCAATAGACTGCAATGCTCAGCAGGAGCCAGTCACCCATACGGCGTGAGCTGAATTTGAACTTTGCTGAACCACACCACAACCCCAGTAACCACATCTGGACTATGTAACTGCAGATAGAGAGAGAGAGAGAGAGAGAGAGAGAGAGAGAGAGAGAGAGAGAGAGAGAGTAATGTTGACCTTGGGATGCCTGATTTTCTGAGGTAAGAAAGAAGAAAGAGACGGTGAATTGCAGGTCACAGACAAACAAAAGGATCAGGCTTAATGGTTAGATCTTACATGATATTCCGACCCATGACCACATCTGGACCGTATTTTAACAGGATGTAAAGACAGAGGGAGTCATACAGAGAGAAGAAAGACATGGTGGGGTTGATAGAATCACAAGTCAGCTTCAAGTTCCCCGACATCTGGAGGTTGTAAGTGTTGCAGTATACAGACAGGAGTGAAGGCTGTCAGACAGCAGAGATCCGTGATGTGTGAGACAGACAGACAGAAATGTGGATCATGTCCACGCTGGAGGACAAACAGACATGAGAGCTGGAAATCAAGCAGGCAGACAGAGTGGAAGACGGATAGAGAGGGACACAGAGAGACTGACAGGCAGGTATGACTGATCTCAAACAGGCAGACAGACAGGATGGAAGTCCATATGAGAAATCTACAACCCTTTTCCGTGAGCAACATCTGGATGATTTTAAAGAAGATATTTCAGATGTACACCATGTCTTTTCCCCCGATTAAAAGAAAAAACCCTCTTTATTCATTTTGTCCACCAACAGAAAAAAAATAAGCAGCTTGAGTTTATTCTTTAAAATCCAGTTCACGCTCCCTTGACCCCATAACACAATTTCCACACCTTACGAACACTTTGCTCATCCATCCCTCTTACAGTCACACTTCCCCCCCACCCTTCCCTCCGATATCCCATCCACAGACCCCCCCCCCCCCCCCTCACACCCATCCCCTCACACCCATCAGACCTTGCACCAAAGAAAGTACGGGACAAAAAAAACAGAGAAGAGTACATATAAACATGTGTGCATAAAATGCACATTTAAATCAATATCACAGCATGAAATAAATAAATAGATGAATTAATCGAGCAGATGAAAGTGCACACGCCTCAACACAATGCAGTAAAGGACTGATTGCTCCGAGGACCCATAGTTGGGATCTATTTCTCTTTTGTAAAATACACAGACATTACGAATGGGTGCAGGTAACATTATGCGAGATGGAAACCTCTGTAAGTGTCACACGTCTCTATTTACTTTTTTCCAACATTTTTCTTCCATTTAGGTCCATGCGTGTTCACTTGACTTTTATCCAGATGTAGTTTAGATATATTGCTAATGAGTCCGACTAGCACATACAAATTACCATGCGACCCGTCCAGGGTCGACTCATCTCTCCCCCATTGTTATCAGGGGTTTAGATAATGGATGGACGAACTTGTCTCCCTCATAGAAAGACTGATATACCTGCTTATCCTCAAAGTACAAATCTGAAAAAAGTGTCATGAACAGATACTATAAATATAAACGCTACACATACATACATAAAAAAAAAAAAAATACTTGAAATGTGTTTATCTCAAAAATGTCTTTCTGCCGGGACAAGTTGTGGCATGACTCCTCTTTCCTCATTGAATGTCTATAAACACCCATCAGTAAATATTTAAGCTATGAGCCAACTCCACACGAGACACTTAATATATAAAGTCCAGGCTGCTCCTGTACAATATATAGTTGCAGACATGCATGTTTACCTGGAATACGCTTATTTGATCCATTTACAGTGCTTAGTCACTATCAATGACATGAATTATTATAGTTTTCTTTGCACTATGTGTTTTGGAGGACGTTGGAATACTTAAAAAAATCATTGGAGCTGGGAGACAGAAAGTCGTGCTGACATACAACAACAGACTTAAAGACACATGCACCAACTCTCTACTGCGGTGTGTCAAGCAATTCAACCTGAGAGTCTCTTCTTCCCACGCAGACTCTACAAGGGCGTCTCCGGCTACTGCAGTGCGTACCGCGGCGACGTGTGCCGCTCCGTCCTGCGAGACGACCTGCTGGTGTTCTTTAACTCCTCCCTCTCGGACCCCGAGGACATGCAGGAGTACCTGGTCCAGAGCTGGTGGACGGAGCTGGAGGGCCTCAGCGCGCTGTGCAGCCCCGCGGCGCGCTCGCTGCTCTGCCACTCCTCCTTCCCCGACTGCAACCCGTCAGGGTTGGGACCAGCGCCCAAACCCGTCTGCAGGTAGCACACGCGTCTCGCTCTTTGTTGTTGTAGGAATAAGTGGATTACTGAATGAATGAAGTTGCATCTTCCTCTATTAATTGTTCCTTTTCACTGAACAGAGAACACTGCCTGGCAGTGAAGGAGCTGTACTGCCATAAGGAGTGGTTAATGCTCGAGGGCAGTTCAGTCCAGTCTGGCTTCCTCAGCTCCTTCACCGGATCCCACGCCTCCAGTTCCCTGCTGCCCAACTGTCAGGCCCTGCCGAGTCTTCGCACAGACCCTGACGCTTGCACACATGTCCCTTTTGTAGGTAAGGTTGGCCTTACAGAGACAGCTTTGAGTGTCCCCCCCCCCATGAAAAAAAGCAAGTAATCCAAAATGTGAAAGATTTCCTGGAGTAAGTTGGAAAAGATGAACAATAAAAGTAAACAATAAATAAATTTAAAAAAAATCTCATTTAATTGATTGGATAGAAGCTGCTTAAATCTCGAGCACAGCAATGTTGCATAAGAGCCGAAAAGAAATGGAGCGTTACGTCAAAGAAAAGCAGCAGTTGGCCGGGTGCAGTTAGTTTTGGCCCAATAAAGCCCGGCCTGCTAAGCTGCTGATACTGATGAGGTCATTACAAGGGTTCGACTCAGCTGAGCCAAAATACACAGCTACAGGCTTGTGTGCGCGATGTGAGCTTTAAAGGGCCGAGGCGTAGTAGTGGGTATGTTTGCTCTGTAATATAATTGGAACTGTGCTGGAATGACCCTCAGTGATGCACAGACTTTTTCTCAGATTGCTTGACAGCTGTGCTTCCTCTCAAAATGTATTTATTTTCTTATCTGCTCTTTTCTGCATTTCAGACATCAAGAAAGATCAAATCACTAGTAAGTTGACAAAGCGATTAAAGTGGAACACAAATGTCAATCAAATTCATCCATTCAATAAATAGTATTAATGCTGAATGCATTCTGTTTGGTATCGACAGCCACGTGTTTCAGCGACAAAGGCCGTTTCTACCAAGGCAGCGCCAATGTGACGAGGTCCGGGGTACCATGTCAGTCATGGAGCCAACAGGTATTGTGGCTTGTGTGTGTGTGTGTGTGCTTGATTGTTTCTAAAGCCACAATGTCACATCAGCACACAACGTGTAGAACGGATAAGCCTTAATATCGTTACAGTGACTTCTGCTTTTCTGTTGTCTTTTCTTTGGTTCTGGCTCTGAATCACTAGTTGATTCTGAGTCTTCATGCTCGCTTCCTTTCTGATCTTGGCTCTCAGCTACATGAGAGTTGTTGGAGAGGAGCTGGTGGTCTCTTGTTGGTTCTGGTTCAGTGTGGCTGTGTTGATTACTTCCGCTGGATGTCACATTGTTAAGATCCGACTGTAAGCGAGTTACTTTTTTTCCCTTCCGCTTTTTTTATATTGTGCTCCATCTCTGTTTGAATCGTTTGAATAGTGGATATCAAGCTGATAGCAGGTGCATACCGCCGCCTACTGCACGGGGGTTTGAAACACCATATTTATTATATCCTACCCACCAGCCCTGTTGTATAAAAAACGTGATGAACACGTGAAAGCCTGTAATTCTCACCATCCACCATAAGAGAAAAGTCAAAGCTATGTGCCTATAGCTACAACAGCTGGTAGGGACAGTAACTGGTTTGTTAATTGACAGTGTTATTTAAATATTTTATATCACACACATCATTTAACAAGAGATCATATTTAATGCACTATACATTTTGGTTTATAAAAGTCTTAATCAGCAAATAACTATAGCTGTCAAGTGGTGGACTAAAAAGTACAATATTTGCCTGTAAAGTATATGTAACATACAATGAAAGTAGGCAGAATCAAAGTACAAACACCTTCAAATTGATTTTTATTTTTTAATGTTCAATATTTCATGTGTATTTCCATGAAATCTTCACCATCTGAGGACAAAACGTTGTACATCAATACAGTATTTAGGTAAATGTAGTTACATTCCACCACAGCTTGTTCAACATGAGGCAGCTCCACTGATCAAACTATCAGGATCCATCAGCTACGGTATTAAATCATTAATTAACAATCTACGGCCAGTGAGATGAAACATTGAAACACTCTCACATGGTATAACACTCGTAGAATAACTATTCTTCACTATGACTACTTTTACTCTTGAGGTCAGTGAGACACATCTGCAGCCTTGATGAACAGAATATACGTA